AAATTTTGATATAAACTATATCTTGCTTCAACTATAATATCACTCTAACTCTAACCTTTAACTGCAAGAGCTTATTTTATAAAAAAATGTTGTTTTGATATATAAATTTTGATTCTAAAATTGATTGAGTATTACAAATATGTTAATCAACTTGACAAAGTAAATTTTTATAAGAACGCTGTTTTAACTTTGTATCTTAATTAAGTATTGAAAACTATTTTATATACGTACTAATTATAGATCAAAAGTCTGTTAAAATACTTTTTTTTTTTTTGAAAATTAGTTTCAGAGTCAACCTTTAGTAGAACACCGAGTATTTCAAAAAGCAGTAAAAACACCTTATTTTATAGTTGAGGTATTAGGTAAACCTAGAGGTTTAACGTTGATAAAGGTCAAAATCTAGTTTGACTTTCGCCAAAAAAATTTTTAAAAAGCGAAATACGAAACTGGCGAAACTAATGAAATTAATGAAAAGTGATAAAAAAAACTGATAAATGTAGGCGAGAGATGGTAAAACTTATAAAATACACTGAAATAAAATAAATACAAATACTGACTATTTAAATTCTATACCAAACTTGTTGCTATAAGAGCTTTTTACAGAATTTGAGAACACGATACAGTATAACAAATTTGTCAATGATATATGTTTACATAATTAGGCACTGTAACCTTGATGAGCACGATTGAAAAAAAGATTGTTAAAAAGATGATGGCTATGTATGGGAGATCAATGTTTAAAATCACAGATTGTGGCTCGAGACCACGAAACTTGGTTAAGACCATATATCTTGGTTTCAGACTACGGCTATTTTGAACGTACTAAACTAGTAAAGCTAGGGAGGCAGTTTAAAGAATTTATTTTGACCTTACCTACCAACTAAATACATTCTTTGATAACCCACTATCATTAAATCCAAATCCTGCATTAACATCCATCCCGAATAACCTAGCCCTTATCTAATTTGACTTCACGTTAGCCAAGTCTCTCTCATGATTACAACACCATTAGTAAAATGGACCTTATAAAAGTAACTGATTCGGAAGTTATGCACCTTGAAGGAGCTAAACGTTAGATTTAGTAATAAATTTCATTTTCATTAATTATTTCGAGTTATTGAAAGTATCTCGTTTTATTTTTTTCTCATTGTTTGGAAACGAAATTGACTGGTTTTGGAATGCCGGCCTTAACAAATATTTAATTTATGAAATTTGTATAGTTTTGCTACCAAATTTAAAACCATTAATAATCTTTTATACATAGATTTGAGGAATTGTTTATCTAGACGGTATCATATCCATAATACAAATATTTAATACCATATGAAAATGCTATTAATGTTCAGATAAATTTTTTAAGTAGGCCTACGCGAACCTACCCACACTAGTTTAAATAAAATAGTATCAAGAATGCGATATTAGCTACAATCCAGTCAATAGAAATTGAAATGTCTTGAAGCTGGATATACGCTCGTTACTGAAAGAAGTAAAAGAATTAAAAGGTGGATATTTTTCTATGCGTGTACAATTTGATATCAGATATTTATTTATCCATATATTAATATACTTTTATGTAGGCTTACCGCATTTGTCCTTCATGAATTTGGATTTAACTAAAGCGTCTTTATCATGCATAATGTTTTAGCTGGTAAAAGAAACATAACTTCTGAATCACTTATGTAAGAATTTTATAACGCAAAATTTTTAAATAATATTTTATATTTAGATATTCTATTACTTCAGCCAGTTTTTCTATTGAATAACTAAAGAAGTTTGTAGTGATGAATATTTCGATGTTTAAAATGTCCTATATTTGAGATCTGTACCATTGTTAGAATACTATTAAATGAAGTTCAGAGCATTAAAATCAATATATAAAATTTTCAGCAGTCTTCTGTAAATAAAATACAGTACATAAGTAACATTGTAATTATTATATTCGCAAAGCATCACCTTAGATTACTATTCATTACTTGTAGCGAGTATATACAGTACTGTTAGGGCGATCCCTTTATCTTTATTCACAATAAATCTCAATAAATTAATTATTCTATAATATGAGAGATTTTTACAAGTCAACTCTCACAAATCCGAGTTGGAAAGCATCAAACTGACCTGGCATTAAGCTATACTAGCCAACTACGTCTATAGCAAATTACGTTTGATTAGTTCATTGGTTGTCTTATATTGTAACATCAAAATGAAAATTTGTAACCTTTTTATGCTTCTGCACACATAAAGTGTAACAAAACTAAATAAAGTCGTAGAACATTCATTAAGCAAAAATGCTCGGCTGATAGCTCTTTATTGTAACTTTTGTACCACTTTGACTAAACATAAAATGCACTTTAGACAATAAAATTTGCATTTAGTTTAGGCGTGAATTTTTTTTCCTTTAAAAAAATGGACCCTATATAATTTCGTAATCTTGGTTACAAATATCAACATGGTATTGGTGTTAAGAAAGACGAAAGAAGGCCTTTGATTATTATTATCTGAAAGCAGCCGAGTTAGGAAATCCAGTTGCGATGCACGATATTGGACTTTGTTATTATCATAGAATCGGAGTAGAAAGAAATTACCAGAAATCATTTGAATATCATAAGAGATCTGTTGATTTGAATCATCCTACTGCGATTTGTAGTGTTGGTGCTCTTTATGAATACAGTATGGACATGGAGTTGATCAAGATTATAAAAAGCATTTGAATACTATAAATGATCTGCTAATATGGATGTTAGTGTGGCAATGAAAAATGTTGCCCTATGTTATCGAAATGGTACCGGTACAAAGAGAAATATTCAAGAGGCAAAATTATTGGTTCACAAAATATAGAAGCCTTTTGAAACTAATAAATCACCAGATCATATTAACTCTGAGCTTAAAACAATATTAGACGATGAGAGTTTGGATTGATTATAATGAGGTCACAATTAAATGGGAAAAGGGAAAAGGAGGATTCACAACGGTATATTCTGCAAGTCGGTTCAATAGAATAGTACGTGGCGGGATGTTGCACTTAAGGTGGTTCATGATTCAAACGAAAATGAACAAGAATTTATCCAGGAATTGAAGAGTTACTGTGAAATTGGTTACGAGAATCCTTCATTCTTGAATTGTTTTGGAGTATCAAGAAATAATTCTGGTGATTATATTATTGCCATGCAGATTGCACCAAAAGGTTCGTTACGACAAAATCTTGTGGATGTTTTACAATTTGAATGGAATGATTTTATACGGTATAGCTTTGGATCTCGAGTCGATTCATTCGCAGGAAATCGTTCACAGAGATTTACACAGCGGAAATATTTTGCAAGAATATTTGAATAACGCATGGATCACTGATCTTGGACTTTCTGAAAAAGTCAAGGAAGGAAATATTTGTGGAATTCTGCCATATATAGCACCTAAAGTTTTGTTGGGTCAGCCGTATATTCAAGCATCATATATTTACATTCTTGGAGTTATCGCGACAGAAATTTCGACCGGACAAAGAGCATTTGGTGGAATTCCATTTAATAGTGATCTTATATCAAGAATTATCTATAGATATCATTGCTAATTTGATTACCATATTCTACTGTGAATAAGCACTACACTCTCTACTCCACTTTTTCAAATATTAGATTAGCAAGAATAATTTAGCTAAAAGCTTCATTTGGATTTCCGCTAATCTGATATTTAAAAAGTGAGGTAAAGGGTGTAGTGCTTATTTATAGCAGGATATAGTAATGCAGGATTAAATAGAGTAGACTATTTTTCAACTTTATAAAAAATTTTCGCATGTTTTAGATCAGCAAAAATTATGAAAATTTATTATTTTATTAGAAAAATTAGATATTTAATATTATGATCTTAATGGAGTCTTTGAAAGACTTAAAGGATGTAATAGAGAACCACGTATTGGAGTGATATTTCCATTATTAACTTCTATCTATTTCATTCTTTATATTTTCTATCTCATTATTTATATTTTTCATAACTAGATATGCTTCGCATACTCTAGTTGTAAAGGTTTTAAATTTGTGCCTTTGTAAATTTTGAATAGGAATATTTATAGGCCCTATAGAGTTTTCCTGGGCGATCTATAAACATCAATTGGAACTTTCGTTCTAATTAAAAAATATATTATTATTTTGTATATATTTAATAACTAGTAAACAATTTAAAATTTAAAATACTTACTATAGAACCGTAATAAAGGTATTGTTAGCAATGATATCGATTGTATTAAATGATTTGTAAGTGCATGCACATATTGTTCTACGATATTTTTGTTAAATAAAATTTTCACTCGGACACCCAATCGAAATAGTTTTCTTCTGTCTTCTTCAATATGAATGGGATCTAGCTTAAATGGCATTCCAGAGATTTCACAATACATTACTTCATATTGAACTCCAGCAATATCTGTTGTCGCCCACACATCTGGTTTCTCTGAGTAATTAATTCATTACTTAGATCTTCGTGTTTATGAGAATAGAGTCAATTATTTTCATCACTGAACTTTTTGTAGAATTACAAACTTTTGCAGACCTGTAAAAAAAAAAAATCAATTAACTATCAACTATGTAATAAATGCAAATTTCAAATATAATTTGTTACCATTGTGGTAGTATATTATTTAGTCTACGTGTAATAGCTGTGATGATAATATGAACAGGTTCTGTAACCCAAAGCCCTTCATTTATGATATCATTGGTTCAACCAATCCATCATAACGTTTTTTTGCCCAAATGATTAGTGATACAAATCGAAAATCGAAAAATCGATTAGTTGGCTTAGTTGACAACTAATCGATTGAAAAATTTTTGTCAACTTATATTAAAATCGAATAAAAATCGAACAAAAATCGAGTAAAAATCGAATAATCGTTTAGTTGACAACTAATCGATTGCAAAATTTTTGACGATTTGTATCACTACAAATGATGGTACTAAAAGGTATATTAGTATCAAAAAAATAAATAATAAATAAATAATAATAAATAATAATAATATATAGCAAATATATATGCTTACAATTCCTCATACAAATATTTAACAATCCGGCCAAGTTCAGAATTGTTATAAACCAATCCATTTTGCATTTTTTCAATAATTTCGACAATCTCTTTTTCCTGTTCAATATTTAACCTAGAGTAGACTTTCGGCAACTGCTTCATAGATTCTAGCAATTTACTTTCAAAAAGCTATTGCATATAATTATTAAGCATAAAAACCATTACTTGTTTGTTTTCTAGAACAAAGGTTGCTATTTTAGAATCAATATAATCAACTTCTGTTCCAGAAAGAATCCAATTATGACCAACCTATTAATATACATACATGCATATTATACCGCAATGTGATCAGTCAATTAAAATTTTATGATCGGTGTGGTATCTTTTTCTTTAAAAGTTTATCTGTAAAATCATATTTAACAAAAAAGGTTTCTTGCAAACTTTTAATAATTAAGATTCTTAACTTACCTTGAATTTATTATATTCACTAAGCACATTATCGATGCTCTGTAAGGATTGAGATGCCTCTTCATTAATATCATGCAAAGGAATAGTTAATGCTGTATTTTTTTTTTCGGGTTGCTTTGGGGTTTCTTTTTATAACAGCATTTCGTTTACTCCCAGAGCTTGCTGCAAGTACTCATTTTTTTTCATTAAGTGTTGATACAACATATTCAGAAAATTTTAAGAATGAACTTTGCTTTAATTCGTGAAAATAATTTGCTTTTTTGGCCATCTAAAATTATTATTAAAAAAAAATAAATTAATATAATTGATTATATATGTTACTTTTTTTAAATTATCTTAAAGTGTGCAACGTTGCTATAATAAATGAAAAATGAATTAACAATCATGAGACTTCATCTGGTATCGAGAAGAATATGCATTGTTATCAATAATTTCATTCTAACACAATATATAAATATACTGTCGCATCACACATGGTTGATACCATCCCATATTATTGGTGATCTCATATATAGAGGGTGGAACCGATGACTAATTATTCGAGCATCGATCAAAATTTTCGAGCATCGAAATAAGCTTTCATTCATTGAGCTTTTAATTCGGTTATAATCGATTATCAGTGAAAGTCAAAATTT